TATATATATATATATATATATATATATATATATATATATATATATATATATATATATATATATACTAAACCTTACTCCTCCAGCAGCAACCTTCCGTTTCTCTTTGCCCACCAAAGGATACATATTTCAGCAGCAGGCAGCAGCAGCAGCCACAGCAGCAGCATAGCAACAGCTAGCTGCTGCCCCCCCAGCATCGATGGTGTTACTGATGCATCTGTTAGTATATATGTATACACCGGCTGCTGCTGCTGCGCCCCCCGCGTGCAGCAACTCCATAGCAACATCCTACAATACACACACAATAAACAATAAAAAAAAAATAAATAAATAAATAATAAAAAATAAATAAATAAATAAATAAATAATAAAAAATAAAATAAATAAATAAATAAAAAATAAATTATAAATTGTAAATATTAAATTATAAAATATAAATTATAGACCCTAAACATGAAAAAGTACAATCACAACTATCCAACACATATGTGCAGCGCAGCAGCAGCAACTGCTGCAGCACTTGCTGCAGCAGCACTTGCTGCAGCAGCATATGCTGCTGCTGCAGCACTGCAAATTGAACAGCAAACCACTGCACGTTTGAGCTCCTTCAACGGTAGCAGCAACAGCAGCAATAGCAAGAGCAGCAACAGCAGCAGCAGCAACAGCAGCAGCAGCAACAGTAGCAAAAGCAGCAGCAGCAGCAGCAGACAGACTGTGCAACAGGGACGATAAGGAGGTGGTGCAGCACAACCCAGGAGCCCAGTATCCACTGGCTCTGCAGCAGCAGCAGCAGCAGCAGCAACAGCAGCAACAGCAGCAACAGCAGCAACAGCAGCAGCAGCAGCAGCAGCAGCAGCAGCAGACAGACTGTGCAACAGGGACGATGAGGAGGTGGTGCAGCACGATCCAGGAGCCCAGTATCCACTGGCTCTTTCTCCACCTGGAGCCTTTCTTTTCAGCTGCTGCTGCTGCTGCTTCTGCTGCTGCTGCTGCTGCTGCTTTTGCTCTCTCCTCTATGTCCTCCAAGACAGCAGCAGTAGCAGCAGCAGCAGCAGCAGAACCACCAGAATCCTCGCTGTCTGCTGCTGCACTCGCGGGCTTCTGCGTCACTCGTATACCTGGGTGTTTCAGCTGCAGCTGCGGCGACGGCGGTGGTGACGGCACCGGAGACTCCTCCTCCTGCTGCTCCTGCTGCTGCTGCTGCTGTTGCTGCTGCTGTTGCTGCTGCTGTTGCTGCATATTCGGGCGGATCGATCCGTCGGGGGATGCTGATGGGGTTGCTGCTGCTGCTGCTGCTGCTGCTGCTGCTGCTGGAGAAGCAGGAGGTGAAGCAGCATGAAGAGCAGCACGCGTGAACTGACGCGGTGCTGCTGTTTGCTCTTGCTGCTGCTGCTGCTGCTGTTGCTGCTGCTGCTGCTGCTGCTGTTGCTGCTGTTGCTGCTGCTGCTGCTGCGGCACTTCGGACCTCTCCCTGTTTTCTGCTGCTGCGTCTGGTGATATACGAGTCATCTGCACTCCTGTCCCCGCCGCTCCTGCTGCTGCTCCTGCTGCTGCTGCTGCTGCTCCTCCTCCTGCTGCTGCTGCTGCTCCTGCTGCTGCTCCTGCTGCTGCTTCCTGTGCAGCAGCAGCTGCGCGGTCTCGCGACCTGCGGGGCTGCGCCAGGAGGCGCTCGCGCTCCCGCACGATTGCCGCAGCTGCGACGCAAACCCTAAACCCTAAACCCTAAACCCTAAACCCTAGCACCTAAACATAGAGGCATAAACCCTAAACCCTAAACCCTAAACCCTCGAACATAGAGAGCTAAAAGCTATACCCTAATCCGCATACGGCCGAGTAGTGTATAACGTTGTGTTAAGCAGCTACAAATCAGGGTTTAGGGTTTAGGGTTTAGGGTTTAGGGTTTAGGGTTTGTGAACCTATATCCTCTGCGTCGTCTTTCGCCGCCACATATAGATCTGTGTTGAGCGCGATCTTTTCTGCGTCTCTCTGATATTTTGCTGCTGCTTGCTGGTGCAGCGCATGCAAACAAAGCCCCAAAAGTGCTGCTACTGGCAGCAGCAGCAACGGGAAAAATGCAGCTACCAGCAGCTGCAGCCAAGCAGCAGACACCCATGAACGCCGCTGCAGAGACACAGACACTGCAGCAAGGAGACAGATGCTGCAGCAAGGAGACAGCAGCAGCAGCAAGGAGACAGCAGCAGCAAGGAGACAGCAGCAGCAGCAAGGAGACAGCAGCAGCAGCAAGGAGACAGAAGCAGCAGCAAGGAGACAAGAAGAGACAGAAGAAAACAAAAGGAGACAAAAGGAGACAAAAGGAGACAAAAGGAGACAAAAGGAGACAGAACGTGAAGCAAAAAAGGAGACAGTTGAGGAGACAGAAAAAAAATACAAAGAAAGAGACAAACACAGCCACAAACAATATACGATAATAAAGGAGACAAAAGAAGAGACAGAGAAAACACACAAATAGATACAAGGAGACAAACCACTGCCAGTAGCACCAGAAGCAACAGCAGCAGCAGCAGCAGCAACAGCAGCAGCAGCAGCGGCAGCAGCAGCAGCAGCAGCAGTAGCAGCAGCAGCAGCAGCAGCGGCAGCAGTAGCAGCGGCGGCAGCGGCAGCAGCAGCAGCGGCGACAAACACAAGCGACGCCAAAAAGGAAACCGGAGACAGCAGGAGGTATCAACAGACTGACACTGCTCAGCACCAGCAGCAGCAGCAGCAGCAGCAACAGCAGCAACAGCAGCAGCAGCAGCAGCAGCAGCAGCAGCAGCAGAACCAACTCACCCGATCCATACACTGCAGCACCTGCGGCAGCGGCAAGCCGAAGGAGAAAACCCCCAAAATAGTCCACGGCAAGGCAGAGATGTCGTGCAGCAGAGGCCTGCACAGCAGCAGCAGCAGCAGCAGCAGCAGCAGCAGCAGCAGCAGCAGCAGCAGCAGCAGCAAGTGTAGATGCAGCAGCAGCAGCAGCAGCAGCAGGAAGAATTGCTGTGGCCTTTTAGGAGCATGCGGATTGAGCTCCTTTGAACCCAACTCTAAACCCTAAACCCTAAACCCTAAACCCTCATCTGTAAACCCTAAACCCTAAACCCTAATATGTAAACCCTAAACCCTAAACCCTAAACCCTAAACCCTAAACCCTCACGCGACATTGGCAGCTAGCTGCCAGAAGAAGGAGACATTTCTGAGTGTGGAGACAAGCTCTGAGGTGTCTCCCCACAGTGCAGCTCGGCGCAGCCACCACAAGACAACAGCAGCAGTAATTAAAATAAAGACAAAGACAACAGCAAAAGACACAAACTGTGGGGCGCCGCATGCTTGACACCCCAATACATAAGGAAATAATAAACTGTCGCTGTAGCCCTTCATACACTGC